AAAGAGTGAGCATAGGGCGAGTGCGCTAGGTTGGGATGAGGACTCGTGTTCATCGTCAGAGCCGTAACAGAATTCTTGAGGCTTAAATTAAATGTTTTGTCATCCTTATATGCAAGATATTTAGTTAGGAGATCTTCATATGCATAAAACCCTTAAATTTAGTTTCTCCTCTTAATATTAAATGAAAATCTCTTAAATAGATAAATAATATTAGAACATCTCACAAGATATAGGAATTTTATCTATGAAAATTTTAAAAAAAAAAAAGCATAAACTTTGAACATCATTAGTACAAATTCTATATTATAATTTATGCTTTTCGTTATGGATATAGGGTACTTCAATATAAAATAATAGATATAAATTGAGAGCAATAATGTATATGATTGAAAAATAGGAGACTTGAGGTATTGAAATGTCATTAATAAACAAACAAATAATTTGCTTGATTGGTCTTTTTTTAGAAGGGTTTATAAACTTTAAAGGTGGGTATTGCAATCAATGGAGTCTTTCAACATCAAAGTTGGTGATAATGATGGGCTTTTGCAAATGATCTTAAGGTTGGCATCGGTGTTCTTGACAATAATGATCGTTGCCATTAGTAGTGATGATAATGATGGTGATAACTAATATTTGAATTTTTTATGGTGAGTGTTGATATTATTGATGACAACTGACAACAGTGGACTACAACAATACTACAACAGGAATCAATCTAGATAGTGGTGGTGGAAGTCGACTTTGATGGCAGTAGTGAGCGTCAATTTTGATGTTAGTAGTAATGAATATCCTTAACGTTAGCAACAAAACATGCACCATCATTATTGGTGGTAGTGAGAGTTGAAGTTATTAGTGATGATAGGTGTCAATTGTTATTATAAATGTCGAGCACTACAATGTTAATATTGTCAGTGATGAGACAATAAATTGATGTTATTGGTGAAGATGGATAGCTTGAAAGCATCCCTACCTAAGGGACACACAAGCAAAATGGGATTTCCCTATTTTGATAGATTAGTAGGGGAAAATTTCTCTGTATTAACGTTTATAGGTCTCGTGAGACCTCATTTTTCCTTAGTTTGAGCTATATATAGGATTTTATTTCTATTTTCATATAAATATATATTTATATTTACGGGATTTTTATTTTGAATTTTGTCAATTGGAGATTCTTTTCTCAAGTTTCTCCTATTAGAAAACTTTTACATTTTCTCCTTCAAGAGATGAAACTGTAACTTGAGGAGAACGTGTGATGGATCTTTCTAATCATACACACCTCACAGAAAAGTGTCATTGATTGATGTTTCTCAGACATCTTTTCTTTATGAAAAGTAGTCATAACGACTTTTTTCTCTGATACTCCTTATTTACCCTCATTTTTTTCTATCTTATTAGTTGCTAAGCATCCCCAACACGTATTTCCTTCTATGACCGTAGAACATTGTCATTTGTTACCTAACCTAAATTCAAAATTCAACTCATAATCCTAACCCAAAACTTTTAATATCTAACAATCCAACTTCCATAAAAGAACTATTCTTGAAGTTATTACTGGGACTTAAAACCATTGACTAACACTAGATTCATAAATTTTCCATAGCCAAAACTCTAAAGTGAGGAGCAAGTTACCATATCATTAAGGAGAAACCCTCAAGAAGATATCCAAGAGCTTATCGTATATGCACCAAGAAGAAACCCTCAATAAGGTATTCAAGAGTTAAGATCAAGGATATACAGTAAAAATCCTCAAATTATAATAAAGCCTCATTGGTTTTAAAAGGAATCAAAATGAGAAAGTCACTCAAAACAATAGTGATAATCGCCTAGATGGAGATTACCAAAACTATTTTGACTAAGGAGACAAACGATGAAGAGTCAATGTTGTATCTATTCGACATAAAGCACAAGAGAAGATAGAGTGATTTTAGAGTGAATGTTGTGTTTTTTTTTCTTTCTCTTTGTATTTTTAAAGGAGTCACAAGTTTTTCCATCGTCGTATACTTTTATTTTTCGAATAAGTCTCTCTTTCGGATAATATAAATGATCAAGAAGAGAAGAACAAAAAAAGCAGGACATACAACAAAGAGGGAAAACAAGAGAAAGAATGTGGAGAACATTTGTGTGGCAAACCTCAGTAGAATAATTCAAGCACATACGTCCAAACAAGATCAGATTGAAATAGCTTGTGTCAAATATTTGCCAAATTATGTCTATGAAAGCTAACCACTAACAGAGATTTTGGTGTGTTTACCTGTTCTGAGTCCAAAGTGCTCCCAAGGGAACGTATCTCACTTGATTAATTACAGCTTGAGGGTTATCCAAGAATGCCCTTGATCTAAGGAGTTTTGCTTACATTTAAAGTGACCATTATCATAGTGTTATTAAAGGATGGTAATTTAGCAAGGGAATGTTTTGATACTTTCAAAGCTCCCACTGAGCCAAGTGAAGGAGAGTGAGTCTCTCACAATCCCACATAGGTGATGGACTCATCGGCATACGGAGTCTGTGAAACAACCTAATCATCTCTACGGGGAATCTCTATAATTCAAAGCACATCCAAGCCATAAGAACAAATGACATATCATTGTATCCCAAACTAATGACAGTTCATTGATAATTAGACCGCCAAGATGATACAAACAAAGTAAAAAGGAGCGACAGGGCTTAATGGGGGTAGTCAAAGGAGAAAGGAGCGACAGGGCTCAATAGGGGTAGTCAAAGGAGGGGGTAGTCAAAGGAGAAACAAGAAATCCTTATAAGGTAGAGGTAGGCGGGTGGGGGTACCATAAACCCGTCATCCCAAGCCACTAAGACCCTAAGTATACTTTGTCGTGAAGGTAGTTGATCTAACACATCTAAAGACCCACGGTAAGCATTTCGTTAATTGCATCGTTTACGGGGATCTCGGTAGCCCTAAGGTCAAATAAACGAAACTTTATCTTATGGCTATCAGGTGGAGCTCCAAGAGGTGGGACGTATACCTGCTTAAATGACAAAGATGTCGCTGGAAAAGAGAAGAAAGGCAGGTTCAGCTACAAAATTGGAAACACTCCTAACAAAATGGCGTACGCCCCATCCGGGTCGAGGAGCCTTTTAACGTCCTAAGCACACTAGACAACCACTTAAGTAGAAATCTATGTCGGGCCAATCAGGTTAGAGAAGCACGAGGGTTTCTACTCGGGCAAGCAAAATGATGTAGTTATCTAGAGTTATCATTGGATAATGTGGAGGCACAATTATATGACTTGGGTTATGCCCATGTTATACTACCCATTTCAGTCAGAAAGCTATGCAGAAAAGTAAAAGCAGGTTTTGAAAAATCATGACAGCTTTAATCCTAAATTTTATATTATCTCAATCTTTCATGACTATGATTTTTGTAGAAAAAATTACAATTTTAAGATCCTAAAGAGCCCAAATTGCAACTTTTGTAGCATACCAGGAAAAAACAGGAAAAATATTCAAGCATGCAAACATGTCAGAAAAGCGAGAAAACAAGCCAACTATAAAATAATAAAGATCGGTGATGTTGAGTCGGCGACATATCCCAAAAAAAGAAAAAGATTGTCGGACTCTACATATACATATCCCATCCTTATTCTATATATAAATGAAATTTAGAATTAAGGTATGAGACATGAGAAACAGCTCCTGATCCGTGTCACGCGGTTTCGCCCATTTGGCTCCTCAGAACTCGTGCACACATCTTATTTCTAATACAGACTCTTCTAGAATTCTAAAAGTACAGAGGAAAAAGAAAAAAAAAGGACTCGATCTGCATGAAAATAATCCTTCGTCGGCCCTCGCCTCATTGACAGCCAAAGGCTAGGAAAACGATCTTGGCCATGTGTCAGGGAATCCAGGGCGGATCTCTTGGGTCTTGGAAAGTCATATGTGCGTGAAGCATATTCTAAGCTAGTTTAAGTGGACATCCTATCCAAATGACATCAAAAATTGATGCCAACATATTAATTTACAAAATTTTGATGATCATATAGATCCTGATGAGTTCATTGAGTGTCTCCATAAACTAGAATAGGTCTTTGAGCATAAAGATGTTCCACCTATCATAATGGTGAACATAGTTGTTATTAAATTAAAGAAAAGTGCTTCCTAGTTGAGGAAAAGCTTGAATTGCTTGTGCCACCATGAATAAAAAATTAAGATCCAAATTTGGTTCAAGATAAGAAAAAAGATGCAATACAACTACATTCCAACAAAACAAAAAAAAAAAGATATCCTTTTTGAAATTTCACCATTTGTAGCATAAACCGACTTTAAACATCATATATAGTGAACTGTGAGTTGCTTGAGTTAGACGAGCACTTTTGAGCTATCTCTAACTACCTATGTTTAGGATGACTTGCCTTGGCTTTTTGTACCCTAGAAAGAATATATTTTAAGATATCACAAGTTCAATAATAACTTAATTATGAGTTTCCAAAAGTATTTAATTATTGAGTAATGTCTTAACTCTTATAGTCAACAAAAACTTCAAGGAGGAATTAACATGATTTGTCCCACTCTATTTCTAGAAGTTTATTATCCTAAGAAGCATTTTAGCAACTACTCCTTATAACATTTAGTTATTTTATGAGAAAACACAAAATAAATCATAAATACCATCAATTTATATACTTCATTGAGATCCACATAGGCCTATAACATGAGCCCTCAAATTTTGGAAAAAAATATTACATCATGAGTCATAATGCAAAACTGTATCAGGACATAAATTTGTATCAGAACTTCAATCACAATGTGTCACATGTACGGTACAACTCGATTGAATATAAAAAAATAAATAGTTTAATGCATGACGAGAGTCATAATGCAAAACTGTATCAGGACATAAATTTATATCAGAACTTCCATCACAATATGTCACGTGTACGGTCCAACTCAATTCACTATAAAAAACTAAATAGTTTAATACATGACGGGACTAAACTGTACATGTGATGCATTGTGATTTGAGTAATGATATAGTTCATGTTGTAATATTTTTTTTAAATTTTGATGCAAATTCAAACAGTACCTAACAAAACAAATAAACAAACCAAAATAATAGTGAAATCACACTGCAACCGCAATTTTTCACTCCAAAAAAATAAAATATTTTTATTACACCATTGACCCCGGGCTCTCCGCGTTCAGAAAACGACCAAGTCCTCTTTACCGCTTCAAAGTTGAAAGCCGGCACAACTATAATACTTCTCCTCGCCGCCCCTCCTTCTTCTTCACCCACCCTGTCTCTCTCTCTCCTTCCCAACCAGAAGAAAAATGTGCTTGGAAGTGGCGACAATGGCGTCCTCTGTGTGCTTGGAGATCATAAGCACCTCATCATCCCCCGCCGAAGAATCCGAAATGCAATTCTTAATTTCTCCTCGCTTCATCGAAAGCGGAGAAATTGAGAAGACTTCAGCAAAGAAGACGAGCTATAAGTTCGAATTGGTGGACTACGACTCTCTTCCTGAATTCCTGAAGCACAACGAGTTCATCCTTAATCACTACCGCTCCGAATGGCCTCTCAAGCAAACCCTGCTCAGCATCTTCTCCATCCACAATGAAACCTTAAACATCTGGACGTAAGAATCTCACACAATCTGGATTTCTCCATCTTTAAACTATAAATTTATTGTTTTGTTAACTGATTTCAAAACTTGCTGTTCTTCCTCTGCAGGCACTTAATTGGCTTCTTCATCTTCCTCGTCCTCGCCTTCCACGCATCGACTCTCTTCCCGGTGAACCTGGCCGTTTCAGGCAATTCATCAAGCACCTTCGGTGCATCAACGTCGGGGCCTATCGTCTCCCTGTGGCCGTTCTATCTCTACTTAATCGGCGCCATGTTCTGCCTCCTCAGCAGCTGCGCTTGCCATCTGCTCTGCTGCCACTCATCCTTTACCTGCTACCTCACCCTCCGTCTGGACTACGCTGGCATCTCCGTCCTCATCGTCTCCTCCTTCTATCCCCTGGTCTACTACTCCTTCGCCTGTCTCCCCTTTTACCGTAACCTGTACCTCTGCTCCATCACTCTGTTGGGAATCACCACCATCATCGTCTCTCTCTCGCCGTTTTTTGAATCGGCTAAGTTCAGAGCGGCGAGGGCGGTGCTCTTTGCTTGTATGGGGGCGTCGGGACTGGTTCCGATTGTGCACAAGATGGTGGCTTTTGGCGATAGAAAGGAGGCGGTGGTGAGTACACTGTATGAGGTGGCGATGGGGTTGTGCTACGGCGTCGGAGCGGTTGTTTACGGCGCGAGGGTGCCGGAGAGATGGATTCCGGGGAAGTTTGATATCGCCGGACATAGTCATCAGCTTTTCCATGTGTTGGTGGTTGCGGGCGCGTACATGCATTATTTGGCTAGTCTTGTCTACTTGGAATGGAGAGAGATTGAAGCGATTGAAGCATGTTAGGAGGAAAGAAGCATGTTAGGAGGAAAGAAAAAAAAAAACAGATTTTTTCGGAAAAAAATTTGATTTTTAATATTCAGATCAAATTTTTTAGCAGGAAGGATTTCAAAATCATTAAACTTTAAATGAATTGAAATCTGATCAAAACTTTTGTTTTTTTTAGGATGATTTGTTCAGAGAACTTCTGATGTTATGTTCCAAAACAGCATCAAAGGATATGTTTGTAATTTGTTCATACTTTTTTTTTCTTTTGATTTTTCTTTACTTTTCATATTGATTGAATAATGTAAGTAATGATTATTGTTCATATTATATTATATTGAATTATGTTGAGCAAAAAACTTCAAATGGAAAAGTGGACAAAGTCTATAATTAAATAATAATTGATGAAAATACTTTCTTAAATATTCATTTTAGAGTCAATTATTTATGAGGGCAAGTTCCAATTGGTAAATTGGTGAAATACCTTCAACTGTCATTTACATGGATGCCAAATAACTCTTATATTTTTATAGGTCTAGCATTTAAATTTATATATTTACGTGCTTCTATAGCACTTAAATCTTTAATATCACATCAATAATGTCACTGTTACCTCCTTTTTAAAAATAAAATAGACCCTTTAAGACATGTAAAATTAGCATCTTATAGTGTTGTAAATATAATTATAAAAAATTAGGTGTTAACATGTAAATATATAAGAAATGTGTTCTATGTATGTAAATTTATAAAGCAAACAAGAATATAAAATAAAAAGGTCAACACATAAAAAATCAAAATTTTATAAAATTAGAGCTAAAAGATGACCACATCATATTGTTATAATCACTCGTAAGAGATTTTTTTTCATGATATGATTATAGAATTATAGTTCATACAAATATTACATTGATTTATCCCCTTTTAATCTTTCTTTCTCTATACAAATATATATATATATACATAAAGTATTCTAAAATACAATTAAATTATTAAAAATTTAATGAAATAGTTTATAAATGTCTAGACATTTTAGGGACTCCACCCGTAAATTCTTTTAGGCTTCTCCTAATGCTATACTATCTAATACATACTCTTCCATCATTTTATTAGTGCTGCACCACCAACCAATTTTTATCATACGACACGAATCTCAAGACAATATTTTGAGCAAAAAATATTCAAATATTGATAAAAAGTCATCAAGAGCTTCGATTTGAGTAAACTTATAGTCTAACTGATCGGCTTGATGAGAAGAACTCAATGATATAAAAGCTAGTCCAATCCGAATCAGATCAAGCCTGAATCAAATTATTAAATCACTCTTGAAAGATTTCCAGAGGTATTTGAAAAGTCAAATGGATGTCGAATCTAGTTTGTTCATAGTCGAATCGAGTGTCTCGACAAGACGAATCCAATGAGCCCAGGATTGCTCAATTTCGACATCGTTAAGGCACTCAAATGTCCATCAAGCATCATCTGATTGATGGAAGCTCTCCGGACCGACCGATCAAAATTGTTCATATTCTTGCATTAATTGCACCAAAAACACTATAAATATAGCCTCACTCCTCACATAGAGGAGGAGGCTTGAGAGAGAACTTGAGGCTTTGAGAAGGAGATCAAGTCCAACAAAATCTTTGTCATCGCCGATCGTCGTCGACCACCACGAACCTTCAGTGACCGTCGCCGACCTCCGTCGACCTTCATTGATCGTCATCTACCATCGTCGATTACCGCTGACCTCTGTCGACTACCGCCGACCACCGCTGTCCGGACACCGTTAGGCGACGTTGTAATCTGAAAATCTAGTAACTTTTTCCCGTCTGTGGGACAATGGGTCACTGTAATCATCAATCTATACTAGATTATTATAATCGGGCAGACCCCGTGGTTTTTTCCCATTACGGGTTTTTCACGTAAAAACTTATGGTGCATCACTGTTTGTTTCTCTTTCATCTATGTGTATGTTGAATTCTCGTACAACGCTAAGACGATAATTCATTACTCTACAGCCGCGGATTTTTTAGCACGCATCAATTTGGAAGATTTACATGATTTACATGCATACCAAACAATTCTTATGCATTTACATATTTAACATTATGTTCGATTTCTAACCAAATTTGAATTGGACGACGTTGGCCAATTGCGCTCTCTAGAAGGCAGCCTTCTGGTTTGATTAACTCGCCTTCCGTTGCTGATTTAAACGTGTCTGAAAGAAGGCAATGTCAATTCTTTGACGGTGAGCTCAATTAAAAGCCGATTAGTCGGACATTTATGCTTCAGCCTGATGCGGTTTCTTACATACGTACCACCCAATTCTTTATATCTACATATCTAACACTTAAAACTTTGCTCTTTACATTTATACCACCAAAATATTTCATATCACGTAGAAAATACCATCGTTTTGGTTTTGAAAAGTGAAATACACCTCTTCATGTATGGGTAACAGGGGCTCGTACGTAAAACTTGAAGTTTAGGTGAAAGATATGTGTAAATAAGTAGGAATTGAATGATGTTTATGTAAATCTTCTAAGAAAGTGCTTTTTTTTTTAATGATATTTCAATTCAATTAATTTAAAATTAGTGAAGGGTCAAAAACAGAAGTTGAAATTCTAATGCATGTTCTATGCGAGCATACGTAAGCCAATTGTCATTTTAAGAGAGAGAGAGAGAGAGAGAGAGGAACTTTCATCAGAAGGAATGTCAAAATTCATGAATTTATTTCAAAATGGATGCAATTTATGAATAATTGATTAATTTCTAGCACATTTCTCTCATATTAAATTAATATTTACTGGAAATTTACATGCGCCCCGGATGATTCTAATGTATTTGCATATTTAACACTGCATTTTGATATTTGCATATTTGTCGAAATGCGCCCATCTACTGAAGTGGCTAAGGGTCCGTTTGGAGGGCTTTTCCTGCGCAGTGCGTCGGAAGGCCGCAGAAATGTACCGTTTGGCGCGGCGTCTCCTTCGCGGCGGCGGCGAATCTGAGCGGAAAGCGGACCGCGGGTGAGATCCCGCGGCCCGCGTTACCGCTCGATTATTTTACTCCCTTACCCTTCGTCTTCGACTAGGAAGGCCGGATCGCAGCATGCGATGATCTTCGAAACCCCCATCGTTCTCCCTTTTCCCCTTTCCGCTCTGCTCCTATCTGAAACCATTGAGGAAGAAGCCCTACACCGAGCCGAGCTCGATGGAGGGGATTGCCGGTGTGTTCCTTCTACAGTAGTTGTTGCTATTTCGCCCCCAAATGATGACGCCATGGCTCATCTTCACGTTTTGTATTCTTCGCGACTTTGTTTTTCATCTCTAGTTTATGAGGATCTTGAAGCAAACCCATGGAGTATATTATGCTGGAAATTGATTATTTTGCTTTACGATTAGGCTTGATAAAAGTTTGTTCATGGCACATTAAGTAAATCATTTATCAAAAATGCTTCGGATTTAAACAGTCGTGCTCAATCTGTTATTTTTTGTTTTAGTTAATGTATTGTTTACGTTTCTCCTTTCTTGAAATGTATCAAATAAAATCATATGGGTGGTATAAATGAAAATTTTGGGTGGTATAAAGGTATAAAGTGAAGTTTAGATGTTATATATGTAAAAACATAGGAATTGGACGATTGGTTGCACATAGGAATTGGAGGATTGGTTGAGGGTAGCGTGAACATTGTCCATATTTTCATAAAAGGGTGTAAGCTCTGCAAAATGGATGTACATTACAGATTTTATTTCCAATCTGGAGTACATCAGTCTGAACGGGTGCTTGATTATAAATTTCAAACATAAACCTTTTGCCTGTAGTTTAAAACAACTTTTTTCTTTCAAATAGATTGTAATTAAACCCTATATTTATTTTTCTTTCGACCAAACAGCAAAATTTTCAGAACTCCTGCAGGGCCATGCTTGGTGGCATGTGTTTATGGGATTTAATTCATTTAAGCAAAAGTTAGTTGAAAGTTCATTTTTGAAATTCTGGTTCTATTCCCATATACATTACATATGAATTGGGTTTTCTGCACTATCCTTTCATTCTAGTAGATGCAGGTCTTCTGAATTGCAGTGTCCATTATATATATATATATATATATTGGGAAATTTGCATTCATACCACACAATTCCTTTGTATTAACATATCTAACACCTAAAAGCTGTATTTAACTTCTAAAAAATAAATAGAAATGGTATTTTTTGATGCGATATGAAAGATTTGAGTGGTGTAAATGTAAGAAAGCAAAGTTTAGGTGTTAGATATGTAAATACATAAGAGATGTGCAGGCATTAGAGGCATGTCTAGAATTGAAATGGGAAAGTGTTTATTATATTTTTCTTCCCTTTGTTTGGCTACTAATCCCTCAAAAGCAGAAGCAATGGCTGTATATATAGCTGTCCAACTTGATATAGATGCCAACAGTTATCCAAAATTTCCTTTCTGGGCTGATAGTAGAAGGAGCAATCCTTAACCATTTCTCTAATGTGGTGCAATGCTTTCTCAAATATTGTTGTCATGGAAAAATTTCCTTTCCTTGTTATGAATCTGATGCTAACAATTACTGATTATATATCTCATTAGTTTTGTCTAGTCTCTTAAAATTTAAATGCAAGTGTCAAAATTTTGGCAAGATATGCAGGTGGGGAGTGTCTAGGCAGCCTATCTGCAGCACACATGTTTTGGAATTTTTTAAAAACACATGTTTTGGAATTTTTGAAAGGTATACAGATGCATTGGGTTGATTCAGTATTATTACATCCATCATGGCTTTTATGCAGAATTATGCTAATCAGTTTGGCCTTCGAGCCAATTCAAGTTTGCTTTCATTAGTTGTTTCAGCTATGTTTAGATTGTTTAACAATTCACATTAACTTTATGAAATCTCATGTATAGGGTTTTGTTTTGGTAATGCCTTAATTCTGCACTATTTTTAGCAATCTTGCTATTCCACGGGCTTGCTTTGTGCTAAAAACACACAAAATTTATATACCAGACATGCACGCACTCTATGTTTC